TCTCCTCATTTAGTTTTTACCATACCACCAAATCTTCCTGTACAATCAATTCCCTGTTTTCAATTTTGCTTTTTTTCTGCATTCAGAACTATTGTATATCTTACTCTAAATGACTGGATTTTTTCCAATCTTGTAATCTTTGGTCTAAAGTAATATATTTTAAATCATAGAATTATTTTGCATATTAAATATGTAATTCTGAATAATGCCAATCTCAGTAAAGTATTGGTCTAATATATAGATCCATGACTTACCCACAGCAGGGAATGGAACAAACCTCTGCACAAAGAACTTGGTACTGGTTTTCAACTTTGTTGCACGTTTCAGCAACACATTCAAACTCACCTTAAATAAAAGAATATATATAATGATATTTTCTATTCCATTCATATGCTAGTGCTCGTCATCGCCTGTGGACGAGTGTGGTGTGCTTTGGTTCGAAGGGCATCACTAAGTGAAAGTGTTTTAGTATTTTATATGGTACATCACTCGTATTAATTAGATCTCTGTTGTTGCCGAAAATCCCTGATTAAAAATCATGAGAAATTTGCTGTCGCTTCATCTATACTATGTGTAATGTAAACATAAAACTTAAAAACATTCCCTTTGATGTATTTACTTTACCCACTTCAAAGCCGTGAGAAAATTTGAGGAAATACTACCTTTAGATGCCCGGAAATTACACTTTTATACAGTAAAATTCACCATTATTACACCATCAATAGGGGTCTTACCATTAAGGACATTTTTGAAATTTTGTAAATTAAAATATCGTAAAATAAAAATTATACACTAGCACGAATCAACAAATTATTGAACGAGGAGTTGTCGCACTACAAAAGCAACACATGCAAGAATTCGTTATTCAAATTATTACATTAGTACAGTGGAAGAGTAGCAATCAATCATTATAAAGTTTACATGAAAAATGAAGAATAAGACACCACAACAAATGCGCAAAAATAAAATGTCAAAATAAAGGATATATAAGATATAAAATTAAGTTAGATATACCACTAACAACAAATTTAATATCTTGTGGAACTGTATTTTAAGTAACTCTATAGAGTACCACAGTCGTGTCGTCACGACACCAGGTGGGGCTCTCTGTTGTCAACAGACGTTGGTTACCGTTCATTACGCCTGAATGACTACATAAGCTTTCTGGAATAGGAATTTTACCATCAAAATATACTAAAAACACAAAAGCTTGCATTATATTTAGTTATCAAACACACATTTAAGCATCAATTTACAAAGAAAAAGTAAGATACAACATCTTAATAATTACGTTAGAAATTGGGATCAATGGTTTGTCAGTGGAGAAAATGGCGCCCGGTTGAACGCTTTTTGCAAAGATAGCAACGGAGTAGTATCATGCAGTATCGTGACGTAACACTGTAGTACTCTATTGCTTAATTGGAAAGTATTAACTTACCGCTATTGAGCAAGCACTCCCTACAGCTCCAATGTACCCCATTACAAACCTACCCATTGGCGTCTCCTGAAAGGTAAACAGACAAAATGCATATTCAGATAATTTAGTGACAGCCTAGTATTCGTATTTCCTATTATGTTATGAACAAAAAAAAAATATTACATACCAAATCAATTTGAGTATATATTTGCTGTATATTTTTCAATTCAGTTTGATTTTTATTGCTTCATCCAGCCAATGAAGAGCTACAGTATTACCCACCAAAACACACAATAACAATACGATAAAACAATTTGTACAAGGGGAAATTTATGTTTAACTACTCCCAACAAAAATCACTGTGATGTTAGAAATGTAATAAAAAATCTTGTGAAAAAAAAAAATTTGATTTGAAGATGCTCAGAAGAAAGAATTTATCTTTGGCCAGAGATAAAAATAAAACTACATAACATCACTACAATAAAAAGAATATAAAACTCCTACCTTGCTTGCATTTCTATTGGAATAATTCACCATAGCATTGTGACTCTGATTTAACCACTGAAAACATTTTAACAATAACTGATTTAACCACCAAAAATATGTTACTAACAGTATCAAAGAATACCAAAATATTATCAATCACAAAGAAGATCAAAAATAAATACCATGCTACACTTTACCACAAACAAGTGGTTAAATTAATGTTATTGACAGCATTTAGGATAGTAAAATTGAAGGCTGTTTTCTGTAGTGGTCTTGATGATCATAGTTCATTATCACTACTAATCATACAAATAAGGCAAACAAAAAATGTCTTTCCCAAACCAGTCAAAAATCTTAACAGCAAGCTTTTAAAAAAAAAGAATTTTTTTTTTTCCAGGAGCTATGATATTTCAAAAAGCCACATTCAGTGCTATATTCAATTTTAAATACTGTACAAATATCCAGGCCTGCAAAAAAATGTTTTGAGCCTCTGACCATGAAACTGACCGTACTCGCGCGAATATGCGCCTGGGCGCTTAAAATATTTTTTGCCCTTTTTGAGGGGTGCTTATTCAGACAGGGCGCTTATTCAAACAGGGCACTTATGAAAACAGAGTGGAAATTGAAGGAGCGCTTATGGAAATAAATGAAAATTGCGGGGTTTTTCTGGGAATGTATTTAGACCTACATGTAAAACCCAGTTCCAACTACTGTGCTTATCTTAAATTTTTGTGTAATGATTTTTGAAGCCAAACTTCTTAATCATTGGCTCACAAATAATATTCTTTCAATACAATGTAATGACTGAGTCGTACCATGCCAACTCAACCAGGGGCTCCACAGTGACCATCTTGGATTTTGCTGAAATTTTAACCAAATATACATTGAGGGGTATTATGAAAAATCCCAAAGTTTCGTTGAAAAATTCCCAAGCGTTCCGAAGTTATGGCACTTTTAAATTTTGAAGACGCACCCCTTTTTCAGACTCGCGAAGAGCAGCAATATTTTGTTAGGGTTTTTGAAAGGCAATGTTTTCATTTCTGGACATACTAGAAAGCTGAATATTGCTACTCTGGCTCAGTTTTGCTCATACTTTCAGAATCAAGCTCTGAATAGGCATTAAAAAGTTATGACCACCTCATAATCAGTTTTATTTGGGAAAAATTAATTATTTTAAGATTTTGACCTTAGGTTGTGTGGTCAACTACAGGCCAGGACCAAATATTTTAATGGCAATTAGTTATTTGGGATATAGACTATAGCCAAATGCAAGATTATTCCAATCAAACATCACATCACAGATTTATGACAATCCAAAAATGGCCGCAGTTCAAAAATTTACTCCCGTACTCTAAATTTGAAGGGTCAAATAACTATGTAGATAGTTAGCAATGGAAATGAAACTTACACCACTGAAAGATACGTATGTTGGCCACATATGGTAGAAATATTTTTATCTCAATTCATCAACCCCTTCAATATAAGCTCCCAATGCGAAAATGGTGTATTTTCTATGTCGGCAACTTACGGTCTCAACCCCCCCCACCCCCATATACATCATTAAACTGCAGTATAATTTGACAACAAATGCTTGTGTGATCATTGGAGATAGAAATTTGTATAAAATTGAGTACTATCAGAGTTCAAAATGTTCATAGAAAAAAAAATTACACTGATAATTTTGGAAAGATCTAGATTTAAGCATTGCAAAATTCTAATAAATATTTTTAAAAAACTATTATTTTAACAAAGGGAACAGTTAAATTTCACTGTTCCCTGATTATAATGCCTCATGATCCTAGTCACTGGCACAGATTCAATCTTAAGCTCAGTAACTTTATTTGACATATTTATTTATTTTTTATTTATTTATTTTGGTGTAAAAACAGACTGACATCAATCCAAGAGGGCAAGCCTGTGAGCTTCCAAGCAGATACCATAAACAGTTAAAACAGGAAACATAAAAGGAATGAATAAATTGTATGCTAAATAAGAAAAGCCAACATTAAATATGTTAGCAATAGTATTAAAGCATTATCATAAGTATTACTATTAATATTAAATATACAAATGACAACCTTTAACTTTACATGCAGGTGAATAATTTGGTTATTTTTTCGGTGTCTGGTGGAGATATTCTGTAAAAAGAGCACTTTGTCCCTGCATTTCTGGTGCATCAATTATGTAGATGACAGTTGAACAGGAACCACATCTGGGAGGGCTCCAAACAAAGGGGCTGTCTAGAGTCTGTCAGGGTCCTGGAATAAAAAATCACTGGTAGGGTTCACAGGGGAGAGTTTTTATGGCTCAGATGGCCAGATTGAGCTTTTAGACCACAATATTAGGGATCGGCGATCAAAATAACATTATTTGGATAAGCAATTTCTTCCCCACCCCCCCC